GCTAGTATATAACTAAGTGGGTGGGTAATAGCTAAGGTAAATGTATAATGCTATAAGTATTAACTAGCATTTAAAGATACTAATTAGCCTATATAAATAATGTGGGAGCCTATATACCCCTAGATCCCTAACTATATAAGCGTAATTTCCGAAGCGGCGCTTGATTGGCCCAATCACCCCTGTAAAGTCACGCCTTTAGAATAATTCAAGGATTGTACTGTACACACATACAATGTACTGGCATGCCATCCACGTGTCATGGTGGCGCTGCATCGGACGGCGACGAAACGAACCGAGACGGGTGCACATGATGCGTTTTTATTTTTAAAAAGATCAAAAATGAAACAAAAATCAAATAGTAGTAAAACGAAAAAAGAAAAAATGTGCATAGACAGATGTAAATAGATTAAGAAAGAAGTACAAGAAGTCAAAAGGAGGAAAGAATGATAATAAAGAGATAAAAGAAACAAGAAAAAAAAGATGAAATTTAAAAAAGGAGCAAGAGACAAAAAAGAGCAAATCCATCGCGTCGTACATCGTTTGCAAATTCCCAACAGTCGTCCCTCATCACCATATTCATGCGTCTCGCGTGTCCTCTTCATTACTCAGTCATGACGTCCTGCTTCCAGCCCGATTGAGCCGGCTGCTCCCCTGGTTACTCGTCCCGACAAGGAGCCCCGACCCCAATACATCCTGCAAAACGCCCATCCAGCTCCCGTGGCCTTCCAGCGCGCTGACCACGTTCTTGACCAGCCGGTCCACCGCCTCGCCATCTGTTCCGCTCACTTGCCATGCTCCCTCGACATCCCAGCCTCCTGCGCGCTGGCGTTGCCGCTGAAAAGTACCCTGCCTTGTCGCCTGTCCGTCGAGTCGTCTACCGAGGTGGTCGAATCGATCCGGGAGGTCTTCAATCTCTTCTCCCGCCAAACGTGATGCCGCGTCGTTCCTAGAGGGTCGATTGCGGTGGACCAAGGGACGGCAAGATGTGGGGTCGGATGACCGGCGGCCACGATGTAGGTCGGATCGCATATCTTCATGTTCGGTAGCGTGCCTGTCGTGCTCGTTGTCCAGAAAGCCCAATCCCAACCCGTCACTAGACCGTTTTCTATCCCCCTCCAACGCCTCGACGTGCTGCCTGTGATGCCGTTCCATCGTTTGGGAACTTTTAGGCGAAAGTGGAACGAACGTCACGGACTTGGAGGCTATGCGTGGGTCCGTCGTACTACGGGAACGATGCGGCCAAGTTACATCATCTAAATGTGGGGAGAGCACAGAGAAAAACAAAGAAGAAGAGGAGAGAGAGAATGAAAATCAGCTTTGGTGTCTTGATTGTACTTTGCTTGCAACGGTAGACATGGTGCCAGCCAGCTCCTCGCTGTCAAAAGCACGATAGACGCACCATTTTCTTCGACTCTGAAGGGACGTATTTGAGGTTGGACTTGTTCACTCACATGTTCTGGTGGTGGTCGGCGTCCGCCAGTCGGTGGCGGAGGCGGTCCGGGAGGCGGGGCCGGTCCAGGTGAATAGTCGGCTGATCGGAAACCTCCCTCGGATGACGGTGGTGGCGGTCCAGCTGGGGGTGGAGGTGGCGGCGCGTATCCCGTATAGTCTTGCGGGACATACGGTTGATATTCAGCCTTGTTCCTCGGACCTCCGCCACGAGCATCGGGATAACGCGTATAGTCGTCTAGGCTGCCCATGGGGATTTCGCCGGGCGTTGGGGGATACGGAGGATAGTAAGCGCCGCCAGAAGCAGTAGGCGGCGAATGCGGCCGCGGACCAGCATTGTCAAAATAGTCTCTCCCGGACTCTCCATCACGGCCTATCCGCAACACGGCAGCGAGCGGGTCGAGGGCTTTCATGTTAGCTACTTCACATACTGTCTGCCGAGTTGAGGGGGAAGCTCGTTGTTTGCCACACGGTCCATCATAGGGAAAAGGGACAAAACATACGTCTTCTGTCGTCGTCTCGCTCCCTTGACTTTCTGTCCCTCCTGTCCTCATCCTTCCTGTCATGTCTGTCCTTGAACTCCTTGATACCAATCGCCGCGGCACCGGCAGCTGCCACGTCCCTGAGCCTACTCTTGCTTCGCCTTCTTTCGTGCTGATCGTCGTCCGAAGCGAAAGCCGAGACGGACCGATCCCGTCTACTTCGTCTGCGCCGCTCACGTCGTCTCTCATCCAACTCTGTGTCGACGACGCGTCTCGGAGCCACGTCGCTTCGGGAATCGCTATACAGAGGATCGGTTCCGTACTCAACTAGGCCTAGCTCAGGATCAGCACCGGGCTGCGAATAAGGGGATCGTGCCATCGACCTCGACCTGCTCCGGTGCCTGCTGCCGCTCAGACTTCTGCCTCTGCTCCTGGCTTCACGGCGACGGTAGTAGTCGTCGTCTCCGCCGCTCTCACTCAGATCGCGCTCTCGATCCTTCTTGTCGTTGTGATTCTTCCAGAGCTTGTTGGCCACCCCGGCCGCAGCGGCCACCCCGCCAATCTCAGCCACCCGTCGTATTCGAGACTTGCTTCTCGACCGGCCCCTTCCACGGGACTTGGAATTGGATTTGTCACGGAAGTGTTTGATGATGCCAGCCGTCGCGGCCGTTCCCAGGGCAGCTTTGGCCGCTGCTGATATGCTGCGGCGCCGGCTCTTGCTCTTGCTCTTGCTACGCGTGACTCGAGAGGAGCGGGATACAGACCTTGAGTAGTCGTCGCCAGAGTAATGGCCTCGGGTACGGCTTCGCCCACGGTGGGCTTCTTCCTTTTCAATCTTGTTTGACTGGAAGTACTGGGCGGCGCCTGCAGCGGCCAAAGCTACCGCCCCGAAAGCAAGTCCCTTCCTCAGCAGATGGTGATGGTCCGGTGACTCTTCTCGACCATCGCCATATCTCTCTTCATAGGCACTGTGCGCTCGGCGGGCCACTTCTGTGCCCAGAGCTCCGAGCGCAGCGCCGGCAAGGACTTTTCGGCCACGATTCTCGGGCAAGTCGCCATAGGCGTCGCGGCGGCTGCCAAGCAGTGCGGAAATCCCAGCGCCCGCGAGTGCGCCCTCAGCGAGGTGCCGCTTGTGATGGGGGCTCTCGCTGCGCTCCCTGCGAACGGTTCGACGATAGTAGTATTCATCGTCGTCACTGTAATAGTCGTCATGCCTTCGGGGCCGATGCTCGTAGCGCGCCATGGCATAATCGCGTTCTCGATGACTCCGGTGGGGAACGACCTCTTTGCGGCCGTGGCGGTAATAGTAGTCGTCCTCGTACGTGTCCCGCTCTCGTCGGACCATTTCGCCATCAGCCTCTCGATCACGCAGAACAACCACGCCAGGTTGTTGGCGGGGCAGGATTATGGGCGCTGGCGGGGCATCCTGCACGATGATTCTCTGCGGCTCGGCCGATTGCTGACGGATAATGACCGGGGGAGGAGGCGGAGATTGAGGAACGTAATACTCGGTCTCCTTGCGATATCGTTCAATGTCATGGCCATGGTTGTCATCAAAGCGCTCCTCGGTCCTCGTCTCCAGCCTCAACTCTTCAGCGGGATGATGGCCATGGTGAGACCGCTTGTCCCATTCTCTGTCCGTTTCCTTGGCCTCATACACAGTGATGCGAGATCTGTCGGCGTCTCGGCGAAGATCGACGGCTGGCGGAAAGGAAGACCGCGCATCAAGCAGGTCGCCAGAGGCCCGTCCGGAGTATCTGGAGCGGCGATCATCGTCGACATCCACGCGTTCGGTTCGTTCCACTCGTTCGAAGCGCTCGCTGTGTTTGTCGGGTGTCACCTTGTATCTGGTCACGGTGGTTCGTCTATAGCGATCATCCTCAGAGTCGCTATCTCGGTAGTATCTGGACATGGCGCGCAGTGGAGGGAATGGCGGACCGGCCCGTCGTCCCGTTGAGCGAGGCGCTTTGCTTTGGTTAAGGTTTGCACCAATCAGCAACAGGATTGGGGGGGCGCTGGGGAGGAGAAATTCAACAGAGATCAGCGGGCAAAAGAGGAGCTAAGGTTAATGTCGTTGTCAGCGACAAAATATCGGGTCGATAATATATATATATATTTTTTTCTTTACAAAAGAAGGCGTGAAGGGGGAAGAGGCAGGAAGAAGAACGAAAAAGGAGAAACGGGAAAGGCGTTGGAAAAAGCCTAAATGGTCTGGCCCGAAAGGAAGAGGGGCAAAGATGATGATGACGAAACAGGGTTGTCAGCAGGTGCGAGGAGGGGAGGAGGAGCCATGCGTCACACATATTGGAATGGCTGGGTTCCGGTTCTGCTGCGTCGAGGACTCGAGGCGGCCTACGAACCCGTTCGCCTGCGACGTGCGACGTGGACAAGGATGGGATGACGCGGGGCATGTGAGCAATAAGCGGGGTCTGCATCGGCCCATCGGCCAATCAAGCACCATGTCATGACACCAGGAGTCGAAGGAGGTTTTTGACACCACCTGAGGTGATAGTTCGGTGGGTCTAGCCCTATAATTCCATTGGCTGATACTTGGACACAGGGCAGGTACAAGCACTAAGAGGAGCGGAAGGCGCAGTCCCAGAGCCAGCAGGGCTGACAGTGGACACTGTCTCGGGCAGCTGACTCCGGAGGAGACGTCTCTTATTTCCTCTCGTCATGTTCTTTTTTTTTTCTCTCCTTTTTCTTTAGGTCAAGCCTGTACCCAAAAATCTGCCTATGAACATGTAGTAACGACTTAAGAAGGCGCTCATTTATTCTTCCCTGCATACCGTAGGGTAGACCTCACGAATACGAGCGGATCAGTCAGTTCGCGACTTGTTGGACTGGTGGACCGGATTGAACTCGGAGAGCCCCATCTAGTGCCTCTTTGTCACTGTCGGGATCTCGACGGAGAAACCCAGGACGCTGGCAAGGTAGACCTCCCAAAAGAAGATAGAAATAAATGAAAAGAAAAAGCAAAAATAATGTGCGATGCATGCACATACCAAAAAGTACGCTTGTGCACGCACGGTGGGGATCAGAAGATTCGAGAAAAAAACAAGTTCCAGTCGACAGAGACAGGGTTCGAACCTGCGCACGCGAACGTAATTGATAGCTGATGAGAGGCCTCATTCAAGTCAATCCCCTTGGACCACTCGGGCACTCTGCCTATCTGACTTCACTTGTTGGCGAAACTGCCAGCAAAACTGAAATAAGTATGCTTGTGACAGAAAAGTACAAACTTATCTCGAAACAATGGCGCGAAGTGCACGCGACCTCGCGACAAAACTCACGACAAAGCATGTCGCAATGTCCAGGCTGACAATTTCTTACCGCATCCTTCTCATCACTAAAATCTGTTCGAGACAACCACTTGGGAGTCCATCCTCTAACTGGTCCTCGAAGATCTGGAGGCACAAGACCGGTTCCCGGGACCAAGGATCACATCAATGCTGTTCTCTGTCCTGTTCTTTCACCCCCAGCACTGAACTCTCTTCTTCCGGCTCCTCGTTATACGATTTCTTTTCTAGACAAAGTACTGGCATCAGACCGCAAGGATTTCAGGATTGATGGTGCCAATTCTGGTCGGTTCCCTGCAGCCCAGCATATACGACTCGTCCCAGTCGAAAATATGTTGATCCAGAACACAATTGCGCATAGGAGGGCGATACGCGGCCACTGACTTTGATCAAGCAGTACGTAGCAGATTCGGGGAAGCCAGAAGCCATCCATTCGTGAGATCATGCAGCCCGCGTGCAGCTCGTTCGTCTTGCTCGGCAGGACCATCGTCCAACAATACAGAATGGCACAGTCCTGTCTCCAAGAACTCTGACATGAAGCATTCGAAATTCTCCAGCCGAGTCCAGTGGACACCGTGTCGAGTGCGGAACGCCTGTGTATCCTCGCACGAGAGCGCCAGGCGGCCATGGCAAGACTGACCTTCTCGCGACGTGTATGACAAGCAGCAAGGGCCCTTCGTCTGAACGTTGTGGCACGCGGTCAGCATAGCTCTGGACTATCGATCAGTCACACAGCTTTTACCTTGTGGGCGAAGCTGGGAAAAACTTTTGGCCATCTGAACCCATCCAAGCCGAGCATACATTCACAGTAGGTCATGACCAATCACACATGTAAACAGGGCAATAATGAAATACGCATGGTAAATTCCCATGAAGTGTTCCAACCATTTTCTTGGGTCATACGATGCTTTAGTTGATCCTTTCTGGAGACATTAAAGCATCGTTCGCGGGCGGACAACATGTACCGCTCTGTGTTCAAGAGCTGTGATGCTTGGCGAGCAAAGATTCAGTCCGCATACCAGCTTCAGCCCTACTCAAAAAGAATCCCAGGCCAGCAGTCCAAGATGTAGACTGCAACTATGCAAAGGGGATATACATATGTAGTTACCTGTTCAGGGACCCGTGGATTGTGTCAAATGAGAGCTATGGATCGAGACCAGAGCAGCCTCAACTCGCAACATCTACTCATCTCATCTACATCTACGTCCGTCTACCGAGGCTTTCAAATAGCGAGAGTCGCCCGAAGAGGCATCCTGGCGCTGCCGCGCCCAACGTAAATCTCATAGCGTCCCCTCTGCAGCAACCACTTCTGTGCGCCCGTATCCCAGACACTCAAACCCGGCCTCGTCAACCCAAACGAGACCCGGGCGCTCTGTCCAACTCTGGGAAACTCCTTGGCGAAGCCACAAAGTTGCTTCGCCTCCGTCCCCGGTATGCGAACATAAAGCTGCGCCACCTCGGCGCCGTCCGCCGGTCCACGACGATTGACAACCGTACACGACACGGTCGCAAGAGTCTCCCACAGATCTTCCTGGCCGCCGCTAATGACCCTCCTCTGGGGCCACTTGCTGCGGAAGTTTCCCAGCGGACCGTGAATCCCCATGGCGGAGAAGTCGTACCGTGTGTAGCTGAGTTGGACCGGGGCCAGAGGAGGCCGAGGAGCGCCTCGCCGCTGTCCTGGCCCGGCAAGTGGGCGAACAGAAGGGCCGTGACGTTGGGGTGGTCTACAAAGCCGTCGACGGTTCTGATGCCTGCGTTGTGCAGGACGACGATCGTCCTGGCGCACTGGCTGGCGATTGTCCGGATCAAGGCATCCGTGTAGTCGTCTTGGAGGGCCGGTCGGTCCGTCCTTCCGATGGCCCAGGCATTGCCAAAGACAATGCAGGCGTCCGACGATGGCGGCACTGATGGCCGACTGGAACCAAGGTCCTCGTAAAAGCGTGAAACCGTCCTCGGCAGCCTTTGCCACCAGAGCATCCCGCGGGGACGAGGACGTCGTGGGCGTGATTGCCCCGGAACCGCCGCCGCCGAAGCGAGTTCCCAGGGGTGCGGTGACCGTCCGGTTCTCGTTCCGCCCCAGCACGGCGGCCTTGCCATACGTCCATGACCTTTCGACGTCCTCGGCGGCGGTCCAGTTGGGCGGCGTGTTGGCCGAATAGCCAAAGATGGAGAGCATCTTGGGGCTGCGCAGCGGAAGCGTGTGCTTTTCATTCTTGACAAGGACATGTCCCTCGATGGCCCCTTGGAGGATCGTCGATTGGTTCCTTGGGTCTCGCGCCTCGACGACGGTGTGAGGGTCGGTGACGAGATTTGGCATTCCAATGCCGGGTCTGGGGAACCCTTTGTCCTGCCCGACCTGGTACCACGCCGCGACGATTCTGGTTACGTACATGTTGGTGAGCGGAAGCCGAGACTTGTGTCATGACGATATATTTTTTCCTTGGGGTTTTCTCGATGGAACGAGTGAGACACAGACCTGGTAGCCATGTCTGTGACGCGCGCTTCCGCAAACGACACATTTCGGACCGCCTGTACGAGATTCTTGTCCCAGCTTGCGGCGTTTGGCATTCCCATGTTGAGTCCGCCGGTGGCGTATTCCAGGCCCCCATACAGAGCGGACCAATCCGACACTACGAATCCCTACTCGGACATTAGGGGAATCCACGTTTTTGATGAGGCTTTGAAATAAACAAGGAAGAAGGGGGAAAGAAGAAAAAAAGGAATAAAATGAGCACACTCGAAAGCCAAGTTCCCCCTTGAGCAGCCCATTCTGAGACTTGCCGTTGGCACGGGCATATGTCTGGTTCAGTCGCTGGTACGACCACATGACGTTGGCAGATCCCGTTTAGAATTTCCAGGTCGCGATCGCATGCGATAGAGAAATGACACAAGATGTACGCGTACTAGATATATGCGGAGAGAAGGAGAAATGGACAGAGGGGGGGAAACTACCACCCTGATGGGATGTAGAATGTCTCGCAAAACGATATCTAGGCGGGGCATGCAGTCCGCGATTGGCGTTGCTGCGGCACGCTCGAATGCAGATTCGCAAAAGATGGCAAATTAAGGGGGAAAAAAAGAAAGAAAAGAGTGGGATGCAGGATTCAGGCTGCGGCAAGTGCCCTTTCGACATGACGAAGCATAGAGTCATCGACTCGTCCTCGTTCGTAGTATCTTGACTGACGTCCTGAAACGGCACCAATTTTTACGCGAAGAGCACCGAGATGGCCAAGTTTTTTTTTTTTTTTTTTTGTTTCTCTTTTGTAAAAAGTACTAGGATTATGTAAGGAAAGGATGATGATGCTGAGAAATTAGAAAAAAAAAAAGAAATGACAGCAAGGAATGAACAAACTAGGACAAGATAAAAACAACAACAACAATAACAACGCCCATGTGAGTAGCTCATGCTTGTAAATTTCCCGCATGTAAAAACATAAGAGTCATGGAAAGAGTTCAACTTTTTCATTGCTTTTCCGGTCCAGCTCCATCTCTCGGCCGTGAAACCCCCTCATACCGTCGCTCTATAATGGCGTCAAAGGGGAGGGACGTGATCCGGTTTTGGACCCGCGTCACTCCCGGACGACATGGGTTCCCCGTCTAGAATGTGATTTTGATACGTTGCAATGTGGAAGAAGGGTGTGACGTGTTTTTTTTTTTCTTTTTTTCTTTTTTCTTTTTTTTTTTTCTTTCTTTCTTTTCTTTTTATTTTTTTTATTTTGTTTCAAAAAGTGTGCCAAGTCGGGCTAGACCTTCTCCCAGTCCGAGGCCTCGGAGCTCTCGGAGCTCTCGACCTTCTTGGGCTCGGCCCAGGGCCGGACGGGGTTGCCCATCCAGCGCGTGCCGGGGGGCAGGTTCTCGCCGCGCATGACGAGCGACGAGGGCGCAATGGTGGTGCCGGCGCCGATGGTGGTGGCGGGCAGGGCGATGGAGCGGGGGCCGAGGGTGGCGCCGGCCTCGAGGACGACGGTGTCGAGGCGCATGATGCGGTCGTGGAAGAGATGGGTCTGCAGGACGGCGCGGCGGTTGACGCTGGCGCCGTCGCCGATGCGGCACAGCTCGGCCTCGGGCAGGTGGTGGCTGTCGAGCCAGACGCCGTGGCCAATGTCGGCGCCGAGGGTGCGCATCCACCACACGAGCAGCGGCGTGCCGTAAAAGGGCGTGATCATCCACGGCAGGGCGAGCGACTGGATAAAGGTGTCGGCCAGCTCGTTGCGCCAGACAAAGGAGCTCCAGAGCGGGCGGTGCATGCCGGGGGTGATGCGCGGCGTCAGCAGCCACTTGGCGGCCGTGGTCAGGAAGAGGCTGAGGAAGCCGGCGGCGAGCAGCATGGCCGGGCCGGCGAGGATGGCCTGCCAGTAGCCGAAGCGGTCGAGCACCCAGAGGTAGCCGGTGGCGATCAGGGTGGTCATGACGCCGCCGATGACGAGCGGCACCAGGCGGCACAGCTCGACGAGCCCGCGCAGGACGACGAGGCGCGCGGGCGGGCGGAAGGTCAGCGCGTCGTCGACGTGGATGTCCTGCTTGCGCGGCAGCGAGATGGCCGGGCGGCCGAGCCACGACGAGCCGGGCGCCATGTCGTGCGGGGCCGTGCCGAGCACGCCGACCAGCGAGTTCTCGGGCACGTGGACGCCGGCCTCGACGATGCCCGAGTTGCCGACAAAGGCGCGCTCGCCGACCGACGACGCGCCGATGCGGATGGCGCCGCGGCTCAGCGCGAACGGCGACAGCGACACGTCGTCGGCCAGGAAGGCGGCGTCGTGCACCGTCAGCAGCGACGGCAGCGGCACCACCGTCGACGCCTCGACGTACCGCCCGATGCGCGCGCCGAACAGCCGCAGCCACGCCGGCGTCAGCAGGCTGGCGTAGACGG